TGTAGAACCTTCAACGGGCATATTGTGTCACATTTTCAGGCGAACAGGATTCTGCTTTAAAGTCTATTTCAGTGACCAGATAAGAATTATCAGCAAGTGGAGAGAGATTAGGAAACTTGGGGTTGATTACCTCTGTATATGTTATTTGCTTGGTATGTTGTGTACTACACTGAGGCTAAGCTCTATCTAATGAATTAAGATATTAAGCACACGGATTGGCTTCAAATCACGAACACCCCTGGAAATCATCTACAATACCTGCTTAAGTTCAGTCGCATTATCAAACTCTGAATATCCTAATATCAGGGCACAACTTTAACCAGGATTGTAGATGCACGTTTTCATTTTTTTATTAGAAAACTCTTGGAACCGTCCACCAGATGAATTTGTCCAATCAAATCCTCAGGAGTCCTACAAGAACTACCCCTTAGTGTAGCAGTGACGACCCCAAGACGTGACCTGTCGTAAGTTTAGGCTGGATGAGTTTGACGTTGTTAAGTACTCTTCTAACAGCTTGCTGTATTCAGAAGTATCTAATCGTTTTCTCCTAATAAGAGGGGCAATGTGGCAAAATATAGCAATGAAAATAGGCAATGTGAAAATTTCCATTCGTCAATTTTTCATATTTTCTAGCTGCCGGGAAAGGAAAAAGAGTGAAGTTGAAGGTGCATGTTAAAATACATTCGTCAGAACACAAAACGTACGAAGAAAAAAATAAACTTGTTTACATGTGTATTAATAATATGCGATAATAATAAACTATATTCACAAATAACAATGTTACATGAGACATTAGTGATGAGATAAGATGAAGTGTAAAAACATTATGCACAATGGATGTCTCTGAATTTTTCAAAGAACAGAAAATACAATTATATGTATATATTGACACATCAGTACAAACAAGTGAAATAAAACGAAATGTCGTGAAGCATCCTACGCATAATATTTGTTCAAGCGTTCTGGAAAACTTACTCTTCTTTAAGGGCGCGTTGTCGACGAAGTAGCAAACTTTTATCATCACATCAGTGATGTGCAACAGATGGCTATGTTTGTCGTTAACACGCCCCTGGCGGGAACTCTCTGAAAGATTTTTCGTATCGGATGGCTTGAAGCTTATGAAACTGCATGGTTTTCCACAATTTTAAGAGGACTTACCATAATTTTTGTGGCACTAGCATTAATCAGGATTATCTGACTGTCGTGGTTTAGAGGTATATTTTTTTCGTGAAGAGCTTCCTCGATGTTTTAGAGAAATTCTATTATGATGACGAATATTAGGATACCGTGCGAGAGTATGACAGAGGTTTGTTACGTCATTTTGTGTAACTTTAGACTTTTATATTACGGAGCATCGGCGCTTGCTTTCCTGGCGATCTTTGGAGCCCTATAGACAAATCCACCCAGTTCGTCCACGGCGTTATTTTGAAATGAGATGAGAACGAAATTCACCTGTCGGGGAAGCTGATGTAAGAAAATTGTCTACACAGGACTTCAAAAAAGTTACGCTGACTGATCACTTCCCACATACGTAGCGACATTTCTGCTACTGAGCATGTTGTAGACAGATGTTTGGGGAGAATTAGTCTGACCTTTGTCGGTCAGTCAGGTCTCCACGTAAGGGATGGTTTTCTTCCAAGTGACGTAACGCTCAAAGAAATCACTAGTAAATACACTAGGCATGATGCATCTGTTAACATTGTTTGGGAGTGTCTTCGCCACAGCGATTACTTGTGCACGTGGTCTGTCACATTGTGCTCGTGTACGTTAGATTCTGTATAGTGAACCAGTCTTATATATTGTTGGGCCAGAATGGTATAAGTTGAAGGGTGAGAGGTGAGAGAGTCTTAATCTTAAATAACTAAGGTGTCTGTCCCGTCACAATGAGGGCAAATGGGCGATAAAATATACAAAAATAGAGAAAGAATACCACTAGATTGAAGAATAAAAATGTGATATACAATGTCCCAATTGGGAACAGACTCACAGTTTATTGTTCGGTGTACCGGATCACATCGTGATCACAACTAAACATGCCACATGATTCGGAGTTTTATAACGTCTTTACATGTGACATCTTTATAATCGAGGTATACCAACCCATTCAAATCAGGTGTCAGAAGTGAATGTGTTCTAATATACATTTGGAAATCTATCGATATGTCGAGAAGTGTTTGATGTGAGCTGTGTATCAGTCACCAGGAATGCATAGCACAGTGTGGTTACTTGTGATATAGTACAGTTGCGTTGTCAAGTTTCTTCAGCTAGGTGTGTCCAGTAAAGCAACCCCTATACTAGTAAAACTGTAAGAATCCACTGTTGAGGACTTACAGAACCATTTATTTAGGGGATTTACTTACCACTACAAGACCATATTGAAATACAGATATCTGTATATACCAGGTGCAACTGATGTTTGTATCAAGGTAGCTTTTGTTTAAACAACTCGACATGGTTTATTATAACTAATAGAATTTGCGGCGTAGTTTGAGTATATCAAACCGAGCATTAGTATTACATTTAGACGGAAGCTTTTAATTTTCAATTAGTTTTTTGACTGGATTTATATATTAATTGTTCAGTTGAAAGCTAATTGGGCCGCGAACGTATGCTCATCTAGTCGCGGGATTGCCGTTAACGGCGATTTTAACCAACTGATCTACTTGTTCATTACACGAATTTATGATTTTTACTAGTTTGCATTTCGTTTGATCAATAAGTACTTTTCTTCCGGTAAATTATTTGCATGTGTGAAGCGAGACTTACTAACCTCATTTGTGGAAGTTCCCTATAAGCGTTCGATTAAAAAAGGGCAGCGATTTTTGTACTTGTTATGATTTTCCTTGCTTTGTGTACTTGTTGTACCAGAAAGCATTCTTGGTCTACTTTAACTAAAAGTGCTTCGGTTGAGGTTCGAAATTTTTGCTAATCTTTGTTCTATGGTACCTTTTTTTTACTCATTGACTGACACTCGTGTTCACATTGTGTTTTAAACCTTTTTAATCAAAATACACTGCCTAGTAAGACTTATAAATGTGGACAGCCAAACTGCCTGTTCACCGTTGAGGGAGGAATGCAGTGCGATGAATGTAAAAAGTGATACCATAAGATATGTATACGTCTAAGTCCTACGGCATACGAAAGATGCTCGAAGCTTAACTCGCATTGGCTTTGTATACTTTGCTGTACAAATGGGAAGTTATTAATACAGGAGCCCATAAGCTTATTGGCTTCGGCCTGTAGGAAAAACGATGGCTGTTGCGCTGATAACACGAGCACTGACGGTGAAGAATATGTCAGTGTAGTACGTGCTGCTACCAGACCCGTTAAACACCCGACTGTGATTGACGCGAAAGTGAAATCTCCGTTAACATTAACAAGGAGTGAACTGCCGCTTGATACCGGCATCGGTAATCATACACTTCTAGTGGAAATAGAAGACCCGGATAAAACTGTTACCGTTCCAAATAGTCCCGGTGTGACTGTACTGAGTGATGATAAATGAACTTCAGTACGGAGAGAAAGAAATGAAAAGAAAAAAGCTGTAGGCAAAAAACATCCGGTTAGTAAGTCATTGGAAGAGACGGTATCAGAAACAAAAACTCCACTGCGTGTCAAGACAGACCTCTCTGAGAGGTCAGTCTTTTTTCATAAGTTAAGAGAATCTTCCGATAAGGAACCAAAGGCTAGATTTGAACATGACCTAAGTCATATTAAGTCCTTAACAAGCAAACTACTGCCAGATACAGCTTCACTAGTTAGTATTTGTAAGCTTTATATAGAATAGGACAAAAGGTGGATTCTGAAAGTCCTCAGAAAAACCGCCTCTTGAAAGTTACATTTTCCACGGTTGGAGAAAGGAACTTGATTGTAGGTAACTCGGGTAAACCGATTGGATCCGGAATACACTTCCGTGAGGATCTCAGCCTATCTAAGCGTATTAAGAGACGAGCTTCAGAATTGAAAATAATTGAGTGTCGCCGAAACGGTGGGAGAAACCTCGTTTTTAAGGGTTTTCAAATTGTAAAGGTTTGGAGCAAACCATCCCCAAATCACTCTGGGTGGTAAGGGAAAGTTCTCCACCGACTTAAAGGTATGGTACACAAATGCTCGTAGCCTACTAAATAAAATAGCAGAGCTCAAGTAATGGTGAATAAAGAAAAACCGGATGTTATTGCTGTCTCAGAAACTTGGTAAACGTCAGAAGTATTAGATAATGAAATTCAGTTGACTGGTTTTTTAACCAGTAGGGCTGATAGATTGAACCGTAGGGGAGGCGGGATTATCCTGTACACGAAAAGTACCCTAATTCTAAGAGTAGCTGAAACAGTGGTACATGTTTCAGGGACATGTGAACTGGTGCGATGTATGCTGAAATGTAGACGGCAAGATATTGAATTAGTTGTAGTATATAGCAGTCCAGAATGTGTAGCAGATGGTTTTCTCCAAAGTAAACTTAAGTCCTGGTGTAACAAGGGTAAACGCCTTGTAGTAAGCGTCTTTAATGCACCATATATGAAATGGGTTGACTTAGAAGTAAAGTCGTTCGACTGCAAACTGTTAGAAACCTCGATTGGATTAGCTTTATTCCAACACATTAGAAACCTCACAAGATATGACTTAAGAAACTCTTCTTCTCTTTTAGGTTTAGTCTTCACACACGGTGATGACGTTGGTCAGATGACTTTCCTCCCACCACTAAGGAGAAGTGACCATACAGTCATATTATTCGAATTCATAGCTGAGATTGCCTGCCAAACAGTTGCGCCAGCCCGTCCTAATATATGGAAGGCAGGTATGGAGGTAATCAACTCCGCAGCATCGGCTGAAAACTGTGAAATTGACTCAAGGGCATCAATGCAAGAGATATGGACTCTTTTCAGGCAGTTATACAATCGGGTAACTCAACCATACATACCCTGGACAGTTTCAAAGAAGCACGGCCATCACTGGATAGGCCGGGATATTCGACGTTTACTAAGACAAAAAAAGAAATGTTGGGATGTTGCCATCCGCCTTGGGACAGCAGGTACGATGGAACGCTACAGAGCGATGAGAAGCAAGTGTATAACAAAAATTCGGGAAGCTCAAAGAAAATATGAAATGCAGTCGGCTCAATCTGCACTCAAGCAGCCCAAGAGAATATTCTCGTACATAAACTATAAAACAAGGATACATCATTGGATTCCTAACATAATTAAAGAAGGGAGTGAGTCTAAAATGATAGAGGAAAATCAGGAAAAAGCAGAGGCTATGGCTGACGATTTTGGGAAAGTTTTCACTCATGAATCTCCTCTAGACGAAGAACCAGACCAAAATAAAGAGTCAACAAACCACCTTCTCACCGTGGACTTCGATCAAGACGATGTGCTCAAGGCTCTTAGCACCTTAAACATGGAAAAGTCAACAGGACCAGGTGAACTACACCTCAAAATCTCGAGATATATTGCACAATATATCGCGGCCCCACTGACTGTGATATTCAATATGTCACTTGACCATGGTGTGTTACCTATGGACTGGAAGGATGCAATCGACACTCCCATACATCAAACAGGATCAAGACAACTTCCATCGAACTACAGACCTGTAAGTCTCACCAGTGTTGTAGTTAAAATATTGGAAAGAATAGTCAAACGGACCATAATGGCATTTATGGAAACCAATAGCTCGTTAAACATAGAACATGGTTTTAGAAAGGGTCTATCTTGTGCAACAAACCTCCTTATAGCAAGGGAATTTGAGACAGTGGCGCTATACAACGGAAACTCAGTGGATGTTGTCTACATAGACTTCAGTAAGGCTTTTGACAAGGTGTCAACTAATAGACTGCTATTGAATTTGGAAAACGCTGGTATTGCCGAACCTCTTTTAAAATGGATTAATGATTTCCTAGTAGGTCGTAGACATAAAGAAAGAATAAATTCCAAGTGCTCCATCTGGAGACCAGTACTTAGTGGAGTACCTCAAGGTTCCGTCCTAGGTCCTTTACTTTTTATAATGTAAGTTAATGATCTTTCAAGTATAGTACAGTCTCCAAAGTTATTATACGCTGACGATGTAAGGATCTGGCGAGTAATAACTGGAGACACAGACGCATGTGCTCTTCAGGCAGACTTAAATAATATGATTAACTGGTCTAAAGAGTGACTGATGCCTGTAAACGCGGCAAAGTGTGTCTACATGCACTTTGGGGATTCAAAGGTTAATAGGTACAGCATAGGGGAACTACCATTATCCGTGGTCCGGTCTCATAAGGATCTAGAGGTGACAGTGAGCCATGATCTTAAGACGACGGCCCATTGCCGGGAGGTCGCAGTTAAGGGGTTTCGAACCCTCGAGGCTTTAAAACGGACATTCAGTAAGTTAGATACTACTATGTTCACTACAGTATACACATCCTTAGCGAAAACTAAGCTTGAGAACTGCGTTCGGGATGCAAGCCCCTGTTTAAAAGGTGATTCGGAGGGCGGCTACCCGTGCAATTCCAGAACTCCGGAATTTACCGTACAAAGAGCGGCTTGAAAAGCTGGACCTCTTTACTATGTCCTGTCGCAGATTGAGAGGAGATCTAATTTTGATGCACAGAATACTGAGAAGTGGTTTTGGACCTAACTTATTCTCTTTTTCTCCTCACTAGATCGGGACATCTCAGAGGACATAGCAGGTGAGTAGAAAATCCAAGAACGAACAAACTACCCGTGGCATACAGGTTTTCACACCAAGTCACCAATACTTGGAACTTGCTGCCCGAAGCAATGGTGTCCGCGCCTTCAATTGACTCTTTCAAGAGAAGACTGGACACTCACAGAAGCATACTAGAAAAAGACTAAAATAAGCCGTAGGCCTTCTGTCCTTAATACGCAAATCTGAATGTAAAATTTTTGGAATTTTCAGCCATCAGGATAGCAAATAGACTTGGTTGAATTAACCTTATTATTATGGGCTCTGTGAAAACGCATATTCTTACTGAACAATTTGATCAGTGTATCTGATTTCATTTGTTCAGTCATGATATCTTATCCTACACAAGGTGAAGCTGCTAATAAGTTAATACTGACGTCAAGAGAGAAGTTTTAGGTAGTGATAATAACTCAGTTAATGTGTTTTTGAACTTTCATTGAATGATTTCGTTTGATTGTATGTTACACGAGTTCAATCAACACTTTGACATGTTATATTTGTTAGAATTTCACTGAGATTAAAATAATTCGAATCATGGTAGTCATCAGAAAGTGTTGGTACTCGGTTTTATGCCATTTATCAGTGTTTAGGGAGGCATATCTGCAACCTTGATGGGACCGGTGCTTCCTATCACAATCGAACACATGACAAGCAGTTCTACAGTCTAAAATGTTGTGACTGGGCTATTTTGACCACGATGGAGCTCTCATAGGACTGGAATGTTACAGAGTCTTATGTTGACCTGAAAGACTATAATCTATTTAGATTTATTCATATGTGCACATCACTTTGTCTTATTCACAGAAATATCTAACTAGGAACGTTTTTTAAAGCCTTAGGTTTGGGAAATTCAAAGAATGCCTAGTCATATATTCCTTCAAATAAAAGCATACTATGGAAATCTAAATAAGCGATATTGTCATATATCACTCTTCCCCTTCTTCAGTAATATTTTCCTTATTCATACAGAAGCATTTTATTTAACGAACAAATCGATGCAACCTAGTATTTTTTAAAAAGTTTTACACGCATCCTCAATGAGAGATAATAAATAAAAACAAAATCGTCTGCTTATCTGCAAGATACCTCTGTAGTATATAATAATAATAATATAATTCATTGTAAAAGTATTACATGTATTTATTTTAGCACATTTTGTCTTGGGAAGATAAAAAGGAATGCCATGGAAGAATAAGAATGTGAAGTGAGTCTTTAATGATTTATAGAAAGGAACTGAAGGACTTCATCTGACTCTTACTGTTACAAATAATGAACTTGTAAGCGTTGTAACACAGTGTTAGCGGAACATAGACCAGATTAAAGTATGCTCAATGCACGATTGCTTTGGTGCACGCTGATTGGCTAATTCCTATCCAACCAGCGTTATTCAATATTTAGTGAACACTTTAGAAATCTTCTCATGTGAGAAACTATAATTATACTAACGTTTTACCTATTGCACTTGCTTGCTTCTTACTTCCATCTAACCTTGCTATTTGAAATATAATCTCTTTCCTGTTCAACCGTGTTCTGATTTAGGGACTTGTCGAGTGAATCGGTGTCCGAGAATACTAAGCAATAGGAATAGCTGGGTTATAACCGTAAGAGAGAATTATAACACACAGATTCCATCTAAAATGTATGAGCATTAAGTTTGACGGAGTGGGGAGAAAATCCAAAGTGTAAATTTTCAGTGAATTGTTCCACCATTTCAAGGTTGTCAACATAACGATGATCAAAATATCAAGACTTTACTTCTAGGTATTTTGATCAGAAACTTTTAACCTTTTGAATTTTTACGATGCATTTTTGTCATACTTCTTTGATTTTTTGTTTTTTAGTAGTACAACACTTAAAAAAAGCACATCAGAATGATTACTCAAGTAAATAGAAAATAAAATACACAAAACAATGCCAGATTACTGTAATGAGGAGAATTTAAAACAAACAGAAAGTGTTACTATGCATGAAGTCAATAAACTTTATCCTAATGATCCAGGACTAGATGTCGCTTCACTTAAAATCATTGAGTTATCTAAAAAAATTAGAGAATTGAATGCTTCACTTGTAAGTGAACGAAACAAAAGTAATAACTTGTATCAAATAGTCAGAAAGTTAGAAACTGAATCGATTAACTCATCAAACAAAAATGTTCTATGCAGTTTATGTAAACAGAACAGCATCACAACGAACGAAAACATCGAGAACATATCAGACGATGCAGAACAAGAGAAGAAGAAGAAGAATAAATTAAAAAAACTAGAATCTATTGTTATGGAATTACGTCAAAAAATTCAAACCTTAAATCATGATTTATTATTAGCTAAAAAAGTAATCGAATCAGAAACTGGTGAACTAATACCAAATTTAAATAGTTGGTTAACAAATTTAAAACTAAAACCCGATGGAACATATGGAAATTGGCGTGGTCGACAACAACAAATTATTGCATTAAAAAATCGTATTACAAAATTACAATCACAACTTACTTTAAAAAGTTCTTCACGCATAGAAGATGTAATTTCTAAAGAGAATATAGAAAATGAAACATTTTCTGGTGCAACATTATTGGATATTCATTCTTTTCAAGATAATGATGATAATATGACTTCTAAAACATCTAAACTAGATCCGATCATTGAACAAAATGATCATAGAACAACTAACATTATTCAATTACAAAATGATAAGAAACAATTAGAAGAAGAGATTGATTTCACTAAAAAAAATTTACAAAAAATCAAATTACATCATCATCATTTATTACAAGAACAAAAAGAATTAAAACAACAAATTTTATTTTTAATAAATAAAAGTAAACATGATAATGAATTAATTGAATCATTAATTCAACATAGAAATAATTTACAAAATGAACTCAATAAAATAAATCAAATGAATCAAGAAAAAACGAATGAAATAGAAAAATTAAATGAAGAACAATTGAATTTTAAACAAATAAAAGATGTAGAAATTAAAAAATTAGAAGTAAGCCAATGTTTTATTATTATTTTTTTTGATTGATATCATGAACCGATGAATGATGTTAGATTAGCATTGAAAACCTGGGAAGCATTGAATGGTCGTTTTGTCCTATTGTGGGACTCCTCAGCAGTGCGCATCCACGATCCCGCGAGCGGGATTCGAACCCAGGGCCTTCAGTTTCACGCACGAACGCTTAACCTACTGAACCACTGAGCTGGTGTCCGGTGGTGTTAATGTCTAACCTCAACCAATCCACGAAATTGCGCGACCAACTTCCATTATACTGAAGTAGATAACTCTCTACCCGATATGGATTAGCTCTCACTAGAACTCCGAGAATTCCCTCACGAAGCTAGTCACTAGTGAGCACATGTTGATTACTAGTATAGGATTTGTGGAGATTATTAAGTTTGATTGATGTTAGAAACTATCACCATTGGATGCCGGCTCAGTGGTCCTGTTGGTTAAGCGATCGAGCGCGAGACCGAAGGCCCTGGGTTCGAATCCCGCTCGCGGGATCGTGGATGCGCACTGCTGAGGAGTCCCACAATAGGACAAAACGACCATTCAATGCTTCCCAGGTTTTCATTTGTGATGGTCTAACATAAATTGGTTCAAGATCTCAATTACGAAATTTATTTCTGTTTGTTGACGTTATTTGATAAATCTTGTTGATTGAATGATATATTCGATTCTTAAGCTATTCTCGTAACCTCCAAGCTAGAATCAGCGACCTAAACACAAGAGAAAAGTCGCAAAATATGCAAGAAGCACTTTACTCGCAAGGTTAGTTTTCGTATAGAATATACAAGGTTTTTTTTATAGTATTTTAGATGCTCTTTGGTTTCCCTAAAATTCTGAAATGCTACTAAACATAGTAGTAATATAATAATCAAACAATCAGAAACTCTACATGTGACTTTTTAGTTTCTTCTGAATGTTGATTGGATAAAATGCTTTTTAATGTTTTCTGAGCTCTTTTTTTTTGGTTTTTGCTAAAAGTTTTCTAGATCATCCCAAACATTATCCACTAAGATAATGGAAGCTATGAAATTATGTTGATCAACTTGAAGAATTCAGTATTAAAAACAAACTTGAAACATGACTTATAGAAAAATATGATGTAGTTTATTATTCACTTCATTTGATAAATAACAATCAACCAAATTCTATTGGATATTACTGTTACTATTAAAAACTTTAGAACTTGGAAATGTTAACAAAACTAATCAACCTTTACAAATATTTTAAAGATCATTGACTATTAAAGACAACATTATTAAACATAAGAAAAGAGTTAATAAAGTATTTACTTTCTGAAGTATTTTAAAGCATGATTATCCAAAGAGAAAAAGAAATGTGATTAACTTATGAAAAGAATATCATTTTCATAGAAATTTTTAAGCGGATTAATACTTTTGAACGGGTATGAATAATAATTAGTATCAGAATGAGGTTTGTGGAGATTGTAGTAATTTCAATAGTTCAGATCATGAGTCAATTGAAGTTAGACCACAATAGAAAACTTGGAAGCACTAGATGGCCGTTTCATCGTACTGTCTAACTTTAACTAATCCACGAAATTGAGCGACAAATCCACCATTGTCATCAGTGAGTTACTACCTCACAATAGACCCGGTTGAACTTCATTGGTCACTGCTTCTCACTAGAACTCCAGGATATATCTCTTGAAGCCAGTCACTAGTGAGCATATGTTGATTGCTGACTGATAGGTCCTGGATTCGAATCCCGCGAGCAGGACCATGGATGCGCACTGCTGAGGAGTCCCATACTAGAGTGAAACGGCCATCTACTGCGTGCAGGTTTCTCATAGTGGTCTAGTTTCAATTGACTTGTGATCTCAAGCTGATGAAATTACTATTATATCTGCAAAACCCCTTCTGATATTAATCAACATAGTCTCCAAGAGGTATATCCTGGAGTTCCAGTGAGAAGAAGTGACCAATGGAGTTCAACCGAGTTTGTTGTGAGATAGTAACTCACAGAAGACAATGAAAGATGTGTCGCTCAATTTCGTGGATTAGTTGAAGTTATATATTAATACCGTTGGATGCCGACTGACTTAGTGGTCTAGAGGTTAAGTACTGGCGTAGGAGACTGATAGGTGCTGAGTTCGAATCCCGCGAGCAGGATCGTGGTTATGCACTGTTGAGGAGTCCTATACTAGAGTGAAACAGCCGTCCAGTGCTTCCAGGTTTTTCATAGTGGTCTAACTTCAATTGACTCATGATCTTAACTATTAGTGTTTTTTTTTTAAGTTCAGTGGAAGGAAATTCGAGTTCACTATTCTCTTAATCTTGCATAATTGGTTTTCACTCATGAGTTCGGTAATTCAAATGTAAATTAACCTTCTATATATATACTTATTTATTAAGAATACAATATGATTAATCACTAATATTTGGGTTTAAATTATAGGAAATCATTATGGAGAAAAACCATTTAATTGATAATATGAATGAACGTCTTTCTACAACTAATCAAATACATTTGAATATATCAGAACATGAAATCATAAATGAAACAAATAATGAAATACAATCGAATTTAATGAATTCATCCCATTATGATTTGGATTATATTAAAAATTATAAAATTGAACGTGATGGATTAATAAAATTAATAGAAACTATGGAATGTAGAATTGAAGAACTTATCAATGAAAAAATGAAACTTGAAATGGTAAGTTTAATAAATAAGAATTTTTTATCGATTACTTGGATCATTGGGTAAGTAATAGTAAGGATAGATGCAGGGTATTAGGGAATGATGGTAAATCAGTTGATGACGTTGTGAATCTTCATCGACTGAGATGGTTGGGCCATGTGTTGCATATGCCTGAACACCGGTTACCACGACGCGCAATGCTGACTAGTGTTGGAAGAAAGTTAGGGGCGACCAAACCAAGACGTGGCATCAGTGCTTGAAGACACTAACTTCTAGTCTGCGCCATGTTGGTAGATACCGACTACTTGGTTGGGTCCGCATGATTATCGTAACCAATGGTTGGAGACTCTTGATGACATGGTTCGGAACCGATCACAATGGCGTAGGTGTATACACTCTCTATCTTCCGATAAACTAAGAAATTAAAATCACTTCATATCTTTCTTTCTACGAACTAATTCTTTATTCCTGTACTATACTTTTATATGCGATCTTTCTTTTATATATTACCTCCATTGAAGTAAATACGTCTATGAATCCAGTGTTCATCTTGCTGTGTTAATGAGGTATGGCAACTTGGACCGATGCGTATATGTGCCTGGTCATACGTTGTAGTTGACTGATTGACTTTCATCTAAATCCAATCGAACAGTCTCAGTATTTGGGCGCCAAGTTGATGTGAGATGTTTCGCCTAGTAATCTGGTTCAAGGTTGTGTTTTTATTCAAGGAAACGTTGGATTAACTTCAAATCCATTTGTTTTGATTTTCACAAATACAACATTCTTCCTCTTTAATACATAGATAATTTTGAATAATTAGGAAGATGAGTATTGTACTTGTGATTTTGTAAAATGAATTTGTTTAACAGCATTACAATTAAAATACAATAGTTTAAGTTGTAAAACGAGAGATTAAATTAATAAAATGGGAAACAGATGATGGTCTGAAAGTCAACCACTTCATGGATTGATACTATATCTGTGTTTAGAGAATAATTAACTTTTTACCAATCGAATCCCATATAAACATATATTATGCGTCGGGTCATACGATAGTAGCTAAGTATAGTTAACATATGTATACACTTAGTTTTTCATTCACTTAGATACAAGGCAGCTGTTCTACTTTGTGCAAAGTACGTCTGATGTATCAAACCATACAGCGTTGCTTTATACCTGAAACTTAGTTTGATTACATTAGGAGATGAACATCTAAAAGGCGTTTTGGAATATTAAACTACTGGGACCGGCAGGTAAATTGAAAGCTAACCGGATACCTATAGAAATCCAGTTAATTTGAGTAAGAGTATAGGTTATATGAGAGACGTTTATAGAAAGTCAATTCAGTTCAACCGGTTGTTATGATAAAATAATTATGGATTGATTGAAGTTGGTACGTATGAACTATTACATTTTACTTCAGTAGTATCGTGCTCGCTATGGAGTCCTGAGGCTAGTTTCAATCGCATGTACTATTACTGATGGACATTTCGAGAAGGCTCTTGAACTACATTGTACAATCTATTTGTCGCTAAGTCATTTCCAGTAATGGTTTGAATATTTTCGCTTCTTGCTAAGCACTAACTTAACGTAAAGCCGACTATCTTTTTTATCATTTGCAGATAGCTGAAAATGAATTTCTTAATGAAACATCAGATATTAGACCAGTAAATACTGGCCAACCCGTTTCTCTAACTCTGGAACTATATAGGCAACAAAATCCACAAATTTGTTAGGGATTGAACCAATTATATGCAAGACTCTATAAGAGTACACTAGTGAGGTGGAACTGAAGTTAGTTCATGGTGTAAACCATAATCAAACTGATATGCTCCTGCAAAATCACTTATTAATATAAAAATCATTGTGCATTCGCTAGTGAGTAACTTTAAGAGGTAGCTCTTAGAGCTCTGGTGAGAAAATTTGATCCTTTGAGATCGAAAATTTTAGGGACGAGGCAAATATCACCAAAGTTAATGGATAAAGAGGACTCGATATAGCGAAATAATTAAAGTTGCGATTACAAACCACTGTACGTCAAGTCAATGGTATTTATTTATTCAAACACATAAATATTGATACAAAGGGGCACCGAATACATATACAACACACAAGTCATTTGATTTGTTTGAGGGCTGTGATACTGCCCAGGTACCTAGACCGAAGTAGGTAGTTTCCTTAGGAGGCCACACTCGTTGCCTTTGATCTAAGGGTCTAATCCACAAGGCAGTGGAGCAACGTCAGGAGATGCAATCCCATGGTAGCCGGTGGCCAACGATTGGTTCATATGCCATTTGTTCCATCAGGATACTGGAGCCCCTGTACACCATTAGGTTGGAATCAGTGTTTTCCAACTAACCTAGGTAAACTCTCCGTATCCACTAACCCGGTTAGAGCACCGGATATTCGCTTTTCATAAACAATGCTTCCATTGCGAGAGGGCAGTGAGTAGGACTTCCCTGGTAATAGCTGTATACACATGGCTATGTGAGAGCTAACTTTCCTCACCCTCGGCTGTACCAAGGCATTGGGGGTGGCGGCAACTTAGTGGTATGAAGGTTAAATACTTGCCACGAGGCCTGAAGCCTATCCTAGATGGGGTCATAAATGTGAACTGATGAAGAATCTTTTACTTGAATAAAACAATTATCTAATGCTTCATAATTTTCAACAATTATCTAACTAAAACCAATTCATATTACTATCCAAAAAATTTAAAATGAATAATCTCTACAATCGCTTATAATGAAAAGATACAGTATTCATTGAAAACTACACAACGTACTTTATAATTATAATAGTATTATAGTGAAGGAGAACACAGAACCGAATTATATTTAGCACAAAATTACAGAGTTACTTGATAAAATAGAAAAACCATACTATAATAGCTAATTTGTATAATGTTCAATAATTGTCTCGGACTTCATTGTTCTTATATTTCTATACTAATTGCTTTCTATTCTCGTTTTTTTCCTTTCTTGACCTTTCCCCATCTTCTGCTGCTGCCAGACATTATATTCCTGATTCGCGTCATATTACTACTTATATCAATATAAGTAGCACACACCACAGTATTATTAAAAATAAATGATCATAAAATATATTTCTCTATTGTTTTTTTTCTTTTTTTTTCAAAGAAAAATGCTGAATTAACAAGAAAAACTCTTGTAAAACCAAATGTAAAAAATCAATTTCTTTTAATCAATGAAAAATCAATAAAATCCGATGATAACCATAGTAACAATAATAATAATAATAATGACAATAATAATGGTAATAATGATAATAATAATAATGAACAATTATTTCATAATCTCATCAATGATAATTATATTAAAAATTTAATTCAAAAATGTTCATTATCATCACATTCTATGAAAATTATAATTAAATGTATAAAACAATATCAAACTATATTAATACAATATTATAATGAAATAATAAATTTAAAAAATAATATAAAATTAATATTAGATTATCATAAAGATGATTTTAAATTAATGATGAATATTATTGATGAATTAAAACAACAGCCAACACCAACACAGCAACAACAACCACCGCCACCAACACCAGAACAACAACCACCACCACAACAACAATAAAGAAATATACATTGAAAAGAAAAAAATAGTACTTTTATTGATTTATTTTTGTTGGTATAAGATAGAATTCTCAGTACATAGTTGTTATATTTTGTGGGCTGTGATTCCTGTTAATGTATCATGTGATGATACCGCCAATTAGAAAGCAGTGACTTATCGATTGGACCAGTAACGCGTAAAAAAAACATGTGTGAGCAGTCTAGAGTCCTTATTGGTTCTGCTTCCCGCCTACTCCAGCCAGTTATGTCCAGAACACTAATCTCAGACTCTGTGATATAAATCATTTATTTCAAATATACTGGGTTTATACACAAACTAATCAGACTATATCGTACAATAAAATAGAAAACAACAATTGTACAAGATTTAGCCAAAAGTGGCTGTAAATATGGCAGGTAGTAATTAATAGATAGGGCATAATTCAAGAATCGTAAATCGCAGAATAATAGTTCATAGATCAAAATAAAGCTTATGACAAGAGGAACACGAATATGATTAGTTTAGTTATTTAACAATAGTATTGGTCCATAAATGGATCCAAAAAGTTATCATTCATTATGCTTATCGCTACATAACAATAGTATTTCAACAAGTTGTCTATTTGTTATTTCATGATCGATAGCTGACGATAACATATTAAGTGATCAGTAGTTAGATTGTAATAAAAGACATGCCCCCAAATGCCCTGGTACGTCTGGTACTGGAGAGAGTCCGCTCTCCCTCTCCAAATGCTCTCACATGGCCACGCGTATATAGCCTGTGACAGCGAAGTCGTTCTCACTGAATTCTCGTGGTATTACTGTTGTTTACGAAATTCAGAGGACGAAAAGCGAATGCCCGGCGCTTTAACCGGGTTGGTGGACATGGAGATTTGGAAAACACTGATTCCAAACCAATGGTGCGTATGAGCTCCAGTATCCTGATGGAACAAATGGCGTATGAACCAATTGTTGGTCATCGGCTTCCATAGGACTGCATCTCCTTACGTTGCTCCACTGCCATGTGGATGAGACCTTCAGGTCGAACGCTCCTGGTGTGGTCTCCTAAGAAAACCACCTGCTTCGGTTTGGGCACCCTGGCAGTATCACAGCTCTCGCACAAATCAAATGAGGCTTATGTGGCGCATATGTATTTGGTGCCTCCTTGTGTTCAAATAAAATAAAATAACACAATACCGACTTGCTTACGTCTGTTACCCCTCATCAAGGATAGCAGTTTACATCGTTCTCAACAACCACCAAATCGATTTCAAAAACATCAAAATATTACAAAAAGGTTTTTCCAACTACAAACAAAGAAGAGTAGCTGAAGCATTCCATATAATGCTCTCAATAGAAAAGAAGGCCTTACTATACATCCGACTTGAACTATCTATCCAAGATACCATGTCTGATATTATTCACATTATTATCGTACATACAAATTAAACGATGTCCTTTCTCACTATGAAGGTCACATTTTTTCATCCCTGACCTTGCACACGCACAGAAACACAAATTTACATATATATGTCGCTTATAAATCACCTTGACCGAAACAACATGATATTGACTTGTTGAGACTTGTTTTTTGATTGATCACAAATAATATTCTTGCATTATTCTTATGTACTATTTGGTTATTTATTTACCCTAAAGAAGTAGTTTACATTGAGTCAATACAAAGAATATTATCTTGGATAAACATTACAAAGGATGTTACAGATTTTTTAATAACATACAACTGTTAATTTCGTGGATTGGTTGAGGTTAGACATTAACACCATTGGATGCCGGCCCAGTGGTCTAGTGGTTAGGTGCTCGCGCGCGAAACCAGTAGGTCCTGGGTTCAAATCTCGCAGAGGGCGAGGTCGTGGATGCGCACTGTTGAGGAGTCCCATACTAGGACGAAACGGACGTCCAGTGCTTCCAGGTTTTCCATGGTGGTCTAGTATCAATCAGTTCATGATCTCAATCAAAAACTTAATAATCTCCACAACTCCTATACTGATATCAATAATTGAAAATAGTCATATTCAAGAATTTTATTTATGTGTTATACTGTTTTAGCAACCTCCAAACAAAAACCCCAATCAAATACACTTAAATCTTAAATAACTCCATTATATAGGCAAAATAAATAAATAAAAGTAAGTAAATAAACAGAGAATTAGTGAAACAATTGAGTAAACCAAATACACATAGAATAAAAAACAATTAAAAATTGTCCAGTTAAAAATTCTATGAATAATAAAAAAAAACTATTTTAAGTAGTATAAATGTCTACATTCTTTGTTTTTCGTCTTTTACTTCTATATCTTCTTCAGAAAATAGTTAATACTATGCATGAATAATACACAATGAATATCAACTGTATAGAATTGAAACAAAAAATGTATACATAGTAGTGTATTATTAGATCTTATAAGATAAACCCTAGAAAAGGTCTTTCTTGTAGTATTATTAGTATTATGATTCATTATTTGGTGTATCATAGTATGCATTTAAATAGCATTGAGCTAATTCAGTGACAATTGAACGATCCGGTATCATTTGTGATAATCCATAAAGAGCAGCCTTTAATTGTTGATTGAAATAAGAAAGAGAATAGATGAAGATTATATAATTCTTAATTAGGAATGATAATTAATGAGATAAGGAAAAAAAAGAGATATTCAATTTCAATTGGATTATTTGTAAAAAGATTCTTTGTAATGAATTCTTTTAGGTACAATGCTCTCAAACGCCCTGGTACGGTCGAGAGTGAGGAGAGTCCGCTCACCCTCTCGAAATACTCTCATACGGCCATTCATATACAGCTACTGTCAGGGGAGTCCTACTCACTGACTTCTTGCGGCATTACTATTGTTTACGAAATTGAGAGGACGAAAATTGAGTGTCCGGCGCTTTAACTGGGCTGGTGAAAACGGAACACCCCAGTTAGGGGAATTGAAAAACCTTGATTCCGAACCAATGGTGTACATGGGCTCCAGTATCCTGATGGAACAAATGGCATACGAACCAATCGTTGGTCACCGGCTATCATGGGACTGCATCTTATATTTTTCCACTGTCTTGTGGATCAGACCTGCAGGTCGAAGATTCCGGGTGTGCCCCCCTAAGAGAATCACCTGCTTCGGTTTGGGCACCCGGGCAATATCTCAGTCCTCACACAAATCGAATGATTTATGTGGCACATATCTATTTGGTGCATCCTTGTGTTTGGATAAAATAAAATAAAAAGTACTTTTATCAATAATGAACTACAGCTTTGAGTCAAATCAATGTGTATCTAATAGTTTATTTGCTCATGTGTGACAGGTTATATTGGCCATATAAATCGAGTTCTTTTGAAACACATCTTCATACAATACTCTGACTGGCTCTTTAAAGGATTGTGAAAGTCAGTCGAAAACTTAATTCTAGAGCATTTAGTCACTCGACTTCACCAGAAACCTCTTTAAAAATCATACATACAACCAGAAAAGTTGAGAATGCAAATGAAAAATTTATGTACAGCAAAGGCTATTACTGCCCACCAGTTTAAGCTTAACCTTTGCGTACAAAAACAATATGTTCAGTCCTTTATTCTTCAATAGTTTTAATCTCACTTTCTATCTTCCATAATCTATCGCTTTTATTAATTAGCAATAATTATAAATTTTAATTATTCTGTGCTGAATAGCTATTGAATAGAAGACTATTTCTATCTTATCAGTTTTTCACTAGCCGATTGTTACTTAACTTCCGTCTAGACAACATACTACTTCCAGTTTTTTTAATTAATTAGTACCTTTCTGTCTCACTACAAAACATTATTTTAGCCAGTAAAATTGACTATAAATACAACTGTACAGCTTAAATTAGTGAAATCGTCGAAAAGAAAAATTTCATCGCTGAAGTACCATCTTTATTTTTTAATGATGAACTATTTATACAATATACAGTCAGTAAATTACAATGTAGAACCTGATACTTATGTACATCGGTTCAAGTTACTATATCTAATTTTATCACAGAGAGATCAAATTGTCAAGTTGATTTCCAGAATAGTGGAAATAGTAACAATAAGGTCACTTCACATACAGGAATGAATACAACAGTAGAAAATATGAATATGAATGTGATATATTTGAAACTGGTAGGTTACAGTTAACGATCTAAAGGTGTCTTGTTTGATATTTTGGTCTCAAGCCCTAATTATCTTCAATGATACACAATGATGAAGAGACCTAAATTAGGACGATACAATTATTAAGGGCTCTCCACATATCGTGTCATTTCATGATTAAAACAATACCGAAAGTTTCGTCAATTCTTTTCAAAATTGATATTGAAGATTTAATTATGTCAGAAGTCATGGTCAAGTTATTGATTACAATAATTGAATATTACTTCAATGGAAGATTCAGAATGTGTATGACTGAAGGTTTAGAAACAACAAACTGTTTGTAAGTATGCTTTTTGGTAAGTTCAATCGGAATCAGTCGGAAAAGTGATTCGTTTAGTTGAAATCTTGGAATTTTTGTTTCTAAGCATATGTATAAACTTGAAGTTAGTTTCTCCTTGAAACGTGCATCCTAAGTGGTCAATTCTCAAAGTTACCTACTTCAATTCTCATGATAACGACTAAAAGGTTTTCCATTGCAATCATTGATGAAAAGATCTGTAAATAATTCTTTAAAGTATCGTTTACTTTCATATTCCTTTAGGATAGAGAGAATAATTACCGCATGGTGTTCACTCTTTAAGGCTTTAAAAACCATGATGGGCTGCCCAATGTATATGTATATGAATCACATAGGTCTTGGCTTTTGAAGTCATGTATGTAGGCACATCCAGAGGGTACGCTCCAGGAACGCAAAAGGACCGTAAGCTGAAAAATATCTGTCTTATATCTAATAAGATCAGTGGTCTAAACCAATGAGGTCGAAAACGTAATAAAAGGATATGGTAGCAAATACTAGAGGCAGTTGACCATCAACCCATCTTGAAAGGGTGCTTATGCTTATGTGCATGTCATAAAGTGCAAGGGTAAAAGCCTTTATACCAGTGACATGCATGTAATGTGCAAGTGACAGTCAGTTGTAGCAAATAAGTTTGAAGGGAGTGATGACCATCTACCCTCCTAGGTGAATATACCTATAATTATGTTACGGGATGCATGAGTAAAAATTTGTGTGTTACCGGTATGAATGTAGAGTAGATTTTCCCTTGGTGAGATCCCCGCGTACCAAGACCCGGAGGTTCTGAAGACTTCTCCACTAAATCACGTCCACGCGGGGGGTTCATGAGCCTTGGAAAGTGTATTTTAATCCAGATACACCTATTGGCTTTACTAATTGAGGTTTTACCAGCCTAAAATCGCTGGAAAACCGCACCGTATAGATGCTATTCTATGATAACTATTATCAAATTACAGGTAGAAATACACCTCATTTATTTTGATCAATGATATTCTAGCATCAGAACCACTTATTCTCCATTAAAGCCCAGAAGAAAAAGTATAGCAGTTTTTTTAATTAGCCACTTCGTAGTGTAGGGTAAAATGTCAATATAGATGAAAATTTATCCAACAATTCATCATCATCATCAGTGGAACTTACACTATCAACCACCATTACATTTAATGATTTAATTTTAACTAAGCGACAATAGATTTATTTAACTCATTTACCACGTTTAGGTTCATACAATTGACTTTAAGCCAAACTCTGAATATAAAAGTTATAAATACCAAAACAGTGACCTAAAGTGAAGTAGATAGACTCAAGGATCAAGGCTGGGACTTTATAACTGGAAGTGAGATGGTGAAAAAGATTCGTAGCTCAGGTGGATGATTTTGATGAAGTTTTGTTCTCTGAGCTGGATGGTTTGGTCGTGGAGCTTTCATCGTTCTTCTGAACGACATCATTAGCACAAATTTCAAACCAATGGGAGACACAACCAAAATATAGGAGTAAACAATGACAAATTTAAGGTCAATAAGAACCAATCAATATCGAGGTGTACAGAACAAGCTGTGAAACGCATATGGAGAAATTCGAACATTTCACTTCTATCTGAAGCTTGTGGTGTTGATGATGTCGTTCAGAAGAACGATGAAAGCTCCACGACCAAACCATCCAGCTCAGAGAACAAAACTCCATCAATAACTGGAAGTCGAACACCTTAACTCTTGAGCTACCTTCTTATGTAAACACCAATATAACAAGAACAGAATAAAAAAACATCAACTTACTGAACCTTCAGATTTTTTA